CATCTAGATGTGTATAAGATACCGGTACATGTTTATACGTAATTTTAGCTAAGTATTCGTGGCAGATACTGAAATTGTTTATCATACAATACTAATCAAGATGATTTCTTGGTAGTGACTAATAGATGATGACAAATTGACACATCACCACCGGGTTGTTGACATTCTGACATCTGATGGCTCAGAATCGAATATCCCGTTGCTGTGTACTCTGATAGATTAGCACGTTCCGCACCGCCAGTAGCTTCGATCAATGGTCACATACATACCAAATCAAAATGTGGATGTTAATCACAGTAAATAATTCGTGCTTATTGTCGAGTAGTATTATTTTTATAATCATTATCAATATCATTATTAATATTTATATACCGGTACATCATCATTATCACTATCATTTTTTGTACTATTTTATATTACCGTTAATATTATTACAGTAAGCCAAGCTGGACGTCATCATTAAAAACAATATCCCATTACAGTATGTGCACCAATTTCCCCATAGTACAATGTCTTTAACTCTGTTACAGTACAGTAGTTCAATGAAAGTGAAATACCATACTTATTCTTTTCATATAGGCCTAATCATTTTCAAGTTGCTTACGCATACGTTTGCAGCGTATATACTACAACATTGAAAAGAAGAAAATTATAATGTTGTAGGCCTAATCATAACAAGATGAATAACTAAAAATATTAAAAATAACTAATAACATCATGCCAATGATAATGATAGATACAGTAGTGATAATAATCATACTGATACCAATAATGATAATGTTAATAATTAAAGAGTTTGCTAAATCATATTTAGGGACACAAATGAACACAGAAAATCAAAGCAATATTTAGTGATTTGTATTTCTTTTTATTATTCACTAGTTTAAAAGAGCATTATTTAAAAAAAAGAATATATAGGCCTATATACAGCGTACACTTGAGCGCATGTTTTAATCATAGAAATACTGTGAAGGCCTAGGTCGAGTTTAAGTATTTAACCTTAGGCCTATCTAGACTTTTGAGGAACGTGTGTGATTCCCTGATTGTGTTATCATTTAAACCTGGCGGCAAAAAAGTTTACAAGATACAGTATATTAATATTTTATTCTTTCTCGTTATTTATTGGAAAAAAACAATAATAATATCTAAAAGAAATTACTCTGTCTATTAAAAATTACTAAAATAACATTAAAAATTCTGTATCATAATATTATTAATCATAATATTAATAATAACATTTATTGAATAGGCCTATATTCAATTATTAAAGAGTATAATTTATATTATAATATCAATAATAATCGTTCTGTTATTAATTGCAATTTGGGTGTTGATAATTTATAATCATTATGCATACCACCAATCTGTTAATTTAAATTATTGTAAAATGCTAAACTGAATACGAGATTTTGCCTTGTTTTAGAATCGATGCTATTATGACACGCAACAATTTGATTACATTTAAGACCAATACCCAATGATATAATCGACATAGGCCTATACTAATAAATCGATATTCAATATAATCGAAATTTAATATTAGATCAATATTCAATATAATAATCCGCATAACATACACAATTAGACCTATGGATATTAATATAATCAATACTGTCGATATTTTAAATACAATCGATATCAACTATATTCGATGTTTAATATATTCGATACTTAATATTCAATAGGCCTTGTTTTAGAATCGATGCTATTATGACACGCAACAATTTGATTACATTTAAGACCAATACCCAATGATATAATCGACATAGGCCTATACTAATAAATCGATATTCAATATAATCGAAATTTAATATTAGATCAATATTCAATATAATAATCCGCATAACATACACAATTAGACCTATGGATATTAATATAATCAATACTGTCGATATTTTAAATACAATCGATATCAACTATATTCGATGTTTAATATATTCGATACTTAATATTCAATAGGCTATATTCGGTATTAAGTACGGTATCCATATTTCATACCCAATTGTAGGCCTATCTATAAATATCCCAGCAGGCCTATACATATATTTCTATTTTTTTTTTCATTTTTTAGCTCAAATGATCACATATTTACATCATTGAGTCTCTTATATACAATTATATACAAAATATTGCTTACAGCGTGTTTAATTATATAAAGTACGAAATATAATATGCTTTTATAATTGGTAAAAATATTTAACTTTATAATTTAGCCTTGCTTAGCAAGATTTGTGAAACAAAATAATACAACTAATGACGTACAACATGACGTCATGTCTATTTTGACTTTTCATTCTTTTCTCGAGGACGAAAGACTAGTTTAGATTTGATCACAACGATCTTTCGTCTACTTTTCATAGTACCTAATCTCATTCTCTGGTAGACTATATCTGGTAGCTTCGGGGTCGTCGTCAAAATAACGCTACCACTTTTTTTTATATCGTTCGAGTTGTTTCAAATCACAAGACGCGGGCCTACGTCATTGGTTAGTTTCGGTCCAAATCGGATTTAGTTATTGGCAACCGAGTCAAATTCTTTGGCATCGCATATGATCATAATCGGTCCAAAATCGCCAAGCAAACTCCTCCCTAAAAAATAACGGAAACCAATTTATAATAACTAATAATTATTAAAATTATTAAAATGATTAATATGCCTAATCAATTTGTGAAGGTTCATCTATACAGGTAAAATATATAATCATTGTTTTAAGTAAAGGACCAGGTTTGATTATGGAACTCCATTGACCCTTTGAATTTTACCAAGTGATCAATGTGAACAAGGCTGTGGTACAATAGAAAGCTTCACAAATTAAATATAATTTTTGTTTTAAATGTCTTATTAACAATAAAAAAACTGTTTTTATACCGTATGAATAATCACATTACTATATAATACTAACAGGCCCAGACCTAATAATACTATAATAATTAATATTATAATATTGAAATGTTGTTATATTAATTATAATAAAAACATGTTTTTGCATGTATGATGGATATAAACAACTTTATGAATGTTGAAACTTACTCTCTTGATGGATGGGCGATCTTGCAGACGAGGCCATCTTCACATGGACAGATGCTATCAATTGTGTACTCCACACCACCTTCAGGTACAAAACATTTCGATTTCAACTTTAACTTCAGTTTACATATTGATTCACCATGTTGCTTAGCACAGCACATGTTGTTTCCACAATCTTTAGAATTCTTGCATCTTGCACCTAAAAAAATATAAGACAGAAATAATTTAATGTATTGTTGCCTATAATAGCAGAGGGTATACTCTCAGTAATACTATAGTAAACAATTAGTATCCGGATTCATAATATTTCGACTTGCGACTAACCGGCTTCAAATCACATGATAGGCCCTAACCGACTTCAGATCACTAGAGTCGGTTTCAAACCATACGAATAACCGGATTCTAAACAAATGTTATGTACACAATTAACCAACTCAACCACGTGAACCGTCTTCAAATCTCTGGTTTACCCGACCCATACTAAAGCAACCGGCTTAAATCCACAACTAAACCAACAACCATGTGAAATCAACCTTACATTATCTATAGGCCTATGCCTAGAGCAAGTTAAAAATATTATTTTTCAAATTAGACCAATAGTAAGTATTTTGGTATTTATATTTGTATGTAGGCCTATTTTCATTAAAATTCCTACTAAGGTCGTACAATCCATGAAAAATATTTCAACGCATTCTCAGCTTGATCGTAAAGGATGAGTTGTTCCCATCTGTCGTCATGCAGCTTTGGAATGTTAAGATACATAATATTTGAAATAATCATTACTAACACGTCACCTGATAAACAGGCCCCATACCCCTCTATACGTTAGCAGTAAGATCATTTATAGACACTTTGAACACCACCCCCCCCCCCACTCCGCTGGCCTACCGGCCCGATTTTCCACGGGATCACCCTACCAAAATTCTCCTTTAGTGTTGTGATACTGGTGCGGTGGTCATTAATGTTTTGGGATACAAAACATGATAGGTGCCACTGGCTCATCGTTGCGTTATGGTACACCACCGGTACGTCCTGGGATAAATCATGGAGAGATAAGACAGGCCTATAAAATATTCCTCCATGCTTTGTAACCCAAACGATTAAATTAAACTTATAGTTTTGTATGCCTATTGTTTAATATCTGAATAGGTAGAGGTCTACGCGATCAAAAGCGTAAAAATAAATAAGCAAACGTGTAATATGAAATACAAAACTCAAATGAAGTCAAGCTTAATATTTATATAGAGTAAGTTATTGAAATGCGTACCAGAATTACTAGTAACGCTGAAACAATTAAATATATTTTTCATCATTTGAAATCCACTTCCTTTCACAAGACATGTAACGAGACACAATGCAGATGATTAACGAGGGAAAGGGCTCAATCTGACCAGGGACACGTTTTAGTGGTAATTTATATGTCAGGCTAGCTGGCTAATAATTCATCAAACATGACTGAGTTAACCTTGCCTTTATATACTACCCTGTCGAAGTCCGTTGTCTGGACGTATGAATTCAGTCTAAATGAGACGTCACTCATTTTGATTGACAGTTTCTTGACTGACCTGGAATATTTGATTTGTTGCGGTGGCACTAATAATAATATGATTGTGATAGAACCGATATGAACCGATACACCAAATTGCAGAAAAAGAGAATTATTTTCTAGCCTAGGCAGGCCCTATAATAGGCCTACATGTATTTATTGCAATGAGGTTCTGGCTTCCTATTGGAATAAACAGAATCATTGATTTATTGAACATCAAACAGATCCATTACTGGCCTTGGCATACCTACAATTATTCCAAAATAGTTTTGTAAACCAAATTCCTCAAAATCAAACACAATCTCGTAAATGAATATTTTTTCTTGGATTCTCTGCTTGAAAATCAAATATTTATTTTGTTCGTTAAACTGTTTCCACTACACTCTGTATTTTGGTCTGGTAATTATTTGAAACGTTCTGACAGTTCGTAAAGACTCTACAATAGGACAATAGTTTTCACAGACGCGTGCAATCCGTCCTTATTAATAGTCATTGACACCTCTTTAGTTCCGGCGACTGCCACTTTGAGTTGGGCTACTTATCTAGAGACACTGTCTATGATACAACAACTCTGATCTAGATTCTAAACTGCTGCTAGAAACACAAGGTGTAAATTCATGAAAAAAAATAATAAAATAAATTAGTAGGCATCTATACAACTGTGTTTTAAACACATCCGTCAACACAATATTCATCTGTTTATAGAAAAAATGTAAACTTTATGCAAAGCCTTCAACCAGAAAGTCTTGTGCATTGTCCAAGATTGGAAGAGGTGGATGGTCCTGTTGTACCTACTCCATAATACAGTTGTCCCGCTGTCGTGATGGGTAATTACGCCTGACGTATTGTGCTTGTAATGGCCTAAACAGACAGTTGCAAACATGATTGATGGCGACCACACAGTGGTCTAGGAAATACAGCTGACAAGTGACAGATAGGCCTAGTCTATTCTTTACAACACGTGATCAGAGTTTACGTGTGCGAGGCCCTGGGGTTCATACAATATCGTCCCGGCCGCGCGCGTCCCGGCCTTCCGTCTGTAAATGCCATCTTAATAACGTGTATTATGCCTCAGATTCAACATTTACCATTTAGCCATGAAGTGGACGAAATCGAACAAAGGAAACATATATATTAATTTATGTATTAAATAACATTTTTTTGTTTAATAGGCTAGTTGTAAGCCTGTTATTTTTAATTGTTTGTGATTGAAAGAAATGATCACGTAATAAGGCCTGCGGTATCAAAATTGTATCGCAACCAACAGAAATTTAATTTCGACCTAATATAATAATTTGAAAAAACTCTTTCCATAATAATAATACACCTGCATATGTGGTGATGTTCAACATTGGGTGAGTAAATCTCCCTATGACGTCACTGCTCAATGCAAACATCAGATTTTTGATTTGATATGCGTTGATGGAGTTGTAGCGCGTAATTTATTGTCCATGAATTATGATCAGAATGTAAAGGATGATTTGTACGTAGCAGCTTCATGAATCATGCTGTACCAATAATGACCACAAAGCTGGACAACACATAAATCGTTGTTTATATTCACAGCTCTTGAATCATGTCGTATCGATGACCACGTATCTCAACAACACACAGATCGTTGTTCATGTCTGAGTACAATTTAGTAACATTACATATTACAGAGATGCAAAATGGGGAGATCGCGTGACCACAGAGGCCTACCAGGGCCAGAAAATTTAACTTTATACTCATAATTATTAAAACACTGTTGGGATATTTTGATAAAAGCGTCCATATGATGACAAAAAACGTTGATCCACACCACACCCTTACTACCACGTTTAATTGAACATGATTCCACCAAGGTGTTCTTACTTTACATTGTAAACATAAGCTTAAGGGAAATTGCATACGGAATTATAATACAGAAAGAACGATATCAATTCTAACACTACATATTATTATAAGATAAAATAATTAAAAATACATACCAACTGTTCCAGGTTTGACCGTTTTCTGGCATTTTCCAAAGCGACAGTCAAGTCCCTTTCTACAATGACTATCTTGTCGACAGGGGGCGTTCTCAACCTTGTGATCTCGACAATTCCGATAATGTTGATCGCAGTATTTTCCTCGTCCACAAGCTTTATCACTTCTGCAAGGTGTCTGTGAAAATTAGATCATAAATTAATTAGGTTGTGTGAATAACTTGTATACTGGTAGCATGTAGTTAAATAAAAACACAAAAAGACATAAAAAGACTAAGTCGTCCAGATGAGATTTGGAGACAGGATTCTTTTCCCTTTCTACGACTTTTGAAAGTTACAAAATAAACATTTCCTTTTAATTGACCTAATTAATGAATTATTAGTTTATCATGTGGTAAACCTACTAAATTAATATTCCCTCATAATTCATAACCATCAATACATCATCTAGATAATTTGTATACTACTTTAATGACTGTAATGACGCGCCCCCTCTTCCGCTAGGAACTTCTGAAATAATTTAAACCCCAGATCAGCTGTCCTCCTCAACAGCAAAAAAAAAATCGTTGATACATGTTTGATTACAAATTACTGTAAAACAAATGGTTATTGGCCTATCATAGTGCTACGTTACCACCTCCAAACACACTTAAAGGATCAATAGACTTACGATACCTATTAACACCATGTTCAGTCAATTTAGTTAAATTCCATGGTGTTTCGAAATATTTAGATAAAGCCTATTATTAAAGATTAGGTTTATTGCTGTCTTTGTTTAATAAATGTGCAAAACCTGTCACACATTCAGTTTATTGAATTTTTCCAGCCTTAGGCCCAAGTTATCAACAAATTAGGAAAATGTAACTAGTAAATAATTATTATGCGCAATACGCGAGTATGTGATCACTGCAATAAATGGTTCCATGATGGAGCAATTTGCACTTGTTTGTGTAGTTTGATATATTGCTCCTTTAAAGCGTCCCTAATAAAAAAATATCGCGCTTAGTGATTTATTGCTTGGAGTGCATCTACGCCTAAATTTGATTTATTGTTGAGGAACACATGCGGTAAAATGGAGAAGTGCTGCCTATTGCTAAATAGTAGAGAATCAGATAGATGGATAATAAAATTAGTTTTTATTTCTAGAAAGCTGGTTTAGTGCAATATAGCCTAAGAAAATTTCTTCAGGCATGTATGGTACCGGTAATGTGTGTTCCGATATAGCACCATTATATAAAAGAAACTGATGGCAATGATAAATACAGTACTGTAAAAAGCGGAGGAGATCATGTAGTAAATACTTTCATTTCATTTATTTATTTACCTCAATAAAAATAATGTTCTGGCACTTGTAGGAGGAATCTCTCATTGTTTTTGTAACATTTGCAATTAACATTATCAATTATATGCCTCTGTCTCTTATACACATCTAGATGTGTATTTTTATTCAGGAACTAAATTACATATTGTTTTAATACAAAACAAAAACAAAGAACATTAAAATTAATGATTAAGAACAATAGATAAGACATTACTGTAATTCCTAGTGTAACCTAATGTCGTTTTAAAATATTTTAAAAAGTACGTGCATTGAGGCTTATATTTAAGTATATATATGCTAGAGTGCCTCCAAGTCAAAAATCGATCACAGATTGAATTAAATACACTATCAATGGTACATACCTGGGCCACTAAAGTAAAGTTAAAGTCTGCTGAGGACGATACGTTTCTTTTATTTAAGTTGAGATTCCTTGGGTGGCTAATGGCTTCATCTGACTGTTGGTCTTGGTTTGGGTACGGTAAACTCCACATCCATGGAAAAATGACTCCAGTCGATTCCTGGACTAATACAGTAAAGGCAAGAACAGTTAAACAACTCTGCAATGCATGCATTCTGATGAACTGTGCTCCGGATCGAAAAGTTATCCAACTTTAAAAAGCAAATTAATCGTATGAAATTCAACTCGATCGAATTGAACACTGATATGCAGCTCCGTTTCAAGTGCCTCGTGTTTGATGGATTGTGTTTCGAGAGATTCTCTTCTGATGAGGTTGAATAGTGAGAGACGCAAGCCCATCGGTTGTCAAAAACGGGTGGTAAATGACTTATTCTTTCTAATGGTATGTTATTTGACATACGTCCAATGCTGGAGATGTCCCACTTCTAATAATTGGCAGGTGTCAATCTTCATCTGCTGTAATAGGCTTTGTTTTTAAGCCAATCAGCGAGCACACTGGGTTGTCAGTCAGTAAAGTTATGCTCATTTACGCCCAATTGTTGACAGCGTCTATTGACTGGGCGTGGATGCCTGCCGAGTTGACGACTCAGTTGGTTGTTTTCATTTCAGGTTCCCCGTTGAGATCTTTACAAGATTGAGTAAACATTACGAGATAGACTAGTCTATACTGACATCTGGCTGGTGACATCAATATCATACTATGGTGCGCCACTATTTTCAAAGTTATATTTCAAGTCATAGCAATTATAACACTGCTGTGATAGGAACTTATTTATAGACTACATTCAGTCATAGAGTTATAATTATTTTTATATTTTATTATAACTATTCAGTTATTCAACAGTTACTTGTCAACATAACAATTCCTGTCTAGTATGTCCCCTTAGGCTTGTATTAGGCCTACTGTATACCGTGTATTGGACGAGCTTCCAATGTTGTACTTATTTATATGTAAATATCTATTATTCTGGTTTGTGCAATTGTCTTGCGCTATTTTTTATTTATAAGTATGCCTATATTTGTATTCATATTTATGTATGTATTTATATTGCATTATGGGAAAACGATTTGATTATGAAAATAAATATGATTCTGATTCTATGATTCAGTATAGTAAAACCATAATATCGTAACATTAATTAATTATATTTATTGCAACGAAAAGCTAAGTAAGTAGCCATTTCAGCATTACCACAAAGGGCATTATAATAATACCATACCCATTGGCATAAAGGTATGAAAATGAAATACCGGTATTGGCCGAGCGAATGTATACAGGAAAAATTAGGATATTCTAGCTCAAAATCATTTGTTTGTTGATCTTCAATACGGTAATTTTCAAAAGCGCGCCCACAAAACGTCACTGTCAAACATGGACGTTCTATGTTTGGACTAGCACTTTGGTTTGCCATAAACAATTTCAAGAAAGGATTTTGGTGTGGAGGCGCCCTATCGGTAGAGTGTCTAAGTTAATTAAGTGAAAAGAGAGGTGCGAACACTACATAATACCACCATGATACAGGCAGTTTCCTTTGATTAAAATATATATATATATATTATTATATAGGGCCTTATATATATTCATATTTATACATATATATGATACAGGCAGTTTTCTTTGATTAATATATATATATATATATATATATATATATATATATATTATATATACATATATATATATATTTATTCATATTTATATATTATATATTCATATATGACTATCTTTCCTCGCCAAAAAAGAACTAGCGTTTTCTGAAAGCCTTGTTCTGTTTACCTACGTTTACTTTTATAGCTTCTGAGAATTCAAATCCGATTACACCAACTGATTTTCCGCAATGTTTTAAATTCCTCTTGAGATCGAAAAGTTAAGGAAGTTTTTATTTTTAAATGCGAGGAGACGTTTGCACACGATCGCCTTAATGTAATGACAAGTCCTCCAATTTCACCCACATCTCTTCCGGACAGTACTTTTTTTCTGCCTAATAACGTCCGAAATGGATGCTGATTATTTTTTGTAACAACTGCATGCCTTATGAAAAACTATGGAAAAAGTTACTTTCCCATGGTTTTAAACTATGTTTCAGTCCTCTCGCAGGATTACTCCACAGAGGAGAGTTTTCAAGTCACCGAATACTAGGTTTGTGCACAAAAATAAAAGTATTAAAAGCCCAAATGATACGTGTATCGAGAAATTGAACTATAGCAAATCAAATAGGGCGTGTGATAGGTCTAAGAGTATAAGAGAAATTAAACACGTCACGAATGGATGATGTTATATAGAGGGCGCAAGACCGATTTTTAGTGTTCCCAAGACTGTGCTCTCTTGCGGTTTCTTTTTGTCTAAAAAATTCCAAAACATCAGAATTGATAAATTACATAAATTGTAACATCGTTTAATTTCAATGCATTGTATGGATGCCTGGATAAATTTTATTTCAAGTTATCTTTGTATAAAATTTCTATACACTTTGGCAAATAGTGGGTTTTTACATAATATTTTCCCTCTGCAAAATGTAATGATATTGATCTCGCGGTCGATTGTAAATCGTCCAAAAGTCGAGTATGGAAGTTGAAAAATTCAGTTTAATATGGGAAAATAGTCATTGTTAACTCTTTGCATTGCTTTTTCCCTCCAAATGTTTAAAGTACGAAAATTTAATTTTTAGAGAACAGCAAAGTATTTTTAAAGTGAAAATCTTACTTTTCTTGAATTGTTGTTGCAATTTAGATAAGGTTGTTATTATTTATTGATATTCTGTATGTGAATGTTGTAAATAATGTTTAACTTAGGGTAAGGTTGGGTCGGGAGGGTGGTTATATTGAATTGTATAAGAGCTTCACTGCGTTGATATTGGTCACGTGTATACTAAATTCAAATTCAGTACATTCACTGTAATGAATAACTTTGTGAAAAAGTGTCACTTGAGTTTCATTCTTGAACTTTGACCCAGTAGGTTACATTGTATTTTGTTGTAATTTCAAAATGACTGATGGAACCTAATGTCTGTATACGAACAAATGTTTTTAGTCTGTATTATGTTTTTATTTACTCCAATGAAGAGTTTATCACAAAAATTCAAGAAACCCTTTTCTAGAGTTCGTCCATACAGTCAAGTTTTATATGACAAATATACATCAGATTTGTGCATGTGACCACATCACATGTATTTAGCCAACTACATGATAGTAACTTTGGCATGAAGAAATACCTCTATTGACGACAATTAAAGATAATACTTTTGAGAAAAACATGTCAACATTGGAATTTGAGTCAAGACCTTAATCGTTTGATATTTACCAACTTACCTAGGAGGCCAAGTGGTATCAACCCTTGGGTTCCCCATTAGGAAACATATTTATTATATAATACTTGGTAGTGTGAACTGAGCATTGCATACAACCCACCTACTCTATCCACTTTCATAAATGTCTTATAATATCATCATAAACATAAGTTATTATATGTTTTGTTTTGATCAACTTGTTAAGTAGTTTAGAACCATACATTATAACGTTTTCCGACTTCATAAATGATCCACATTTAGCCATATACATATTTTCTATTGGTATTCACTTGCCACATCTTTCTGCTTTCTGGTGTTTGGTTTTCCATAGGAAATTTTGATATTTAATTTACCAATTTACTTTCTTTTAATTTCCTTTATTTTGCTTTTTTCTACCACAAACATATTTATGAGTTACGTAGTTAATAGAAGATTACATACTTATTAATAATTTGGTTTATTGTGATTATTCAAACAGTAGTTTGAATTCACCTTTCAATCAGTTATTCCGTTCTTTCCACTTCCATTTTATAAATTTGAAAACCATTAACCATGTTCCTATTTACTTCGTCAGTAGATAGAAATATATTAGTCTAAACCACTGGTCAACAACTGGTCATATACAAACATACATTTTCTATGACCAGTCACCTAGCAGGTCACATAGAAATACAATGTGACCTGTTGGGTCAAATGTCAAGAGAGAAGTGACAGATTTCACAAAATTATTCATTACAGTGAATTTAAACATGGAGGTATAAATATGCCATGATTTAAACATGTATATAAAGTTATTATACCATTCAAGACCAAAACCAATTCTCTATGGACAGCAGTCATAAAGTTTATATCCTGTAATACATAGGGTCATTGGTCAAAGATGGTGGTTTCAGTCAACCTCAAAGGAAGTTACATTAGAACAAATAAAAACATGTTCTGAAAAATTTGGAAAAAAAAATCAATTTTCTGTGACCAGCGGATGCTAAGATACAGAAACACTATTTTCCCCCAAATTTGAATATCTTAGATATTTGCATATGAAAAGGACACCGAGTGTGATTTTTGGAATGTTATCTCCTCGTTTTATTAAATTTACAGTAAAGATAGGCCTATAAGTGTGGAGGTATGGAAATTTCCTGCAAAGCATATGGTCAAATCTGACATTTCCGGTCAATTTGGAAGCAAGTGTTGCATTAGAGTGGAGAAAAACATGCATGTTCTGAACCATTTAAAGCAAAAATCTAGTTTCTGTGACCACTTGTCTGCCAATGCTATAATTTTACCCCTAATTTGCATATTTTAGTTAATTTGCATATGACCGGGACATATAACGGAGGTGCGATTTTCAGAATTTTATCTCCTTTTTACATGCCTTCATTTAAAAAAGAATATTTTTAGTTGGCACATTGTTAACTTTAAATGCCAGATTAGATGTACATACTTGGTGGCCAAGTTGCATACAAGGCTCTGACACAAATGTCATCCAAGCTGGGGTGACCAGATGGTGTCAATACAGACATCTAACATGGATGACTGCTTCGAACATTCCACTCCTCATCAAGTGATTTCTAGGCCTCTTTTCTGATTTTTTTTCCCTTGACTATTACAAGATTTGAACACAGCACCCTGAGATTATAGGATCATACCATATAAGGCTAGAGTACTCTGCATTCGTAGCTCCATGGGTGCATTACTTGGGATGACATTAAATCCTTGTATTGTATAATGTAATGCATGTTTCCCTTCAATACAGGCCACTATTGGAATCAGAGTTTCCATGGTCTTTAGTAGCTTTGGTCTCTAATTAGGATAAAGCTGCATTCACACCGAATCCGAATTTGGTTCGTATGGCTTAGAAAAAAAAATTGAATCAGTGGTAAAGAATAGAGGCGCGTACTAAGATGCGTATCAACAACGTTCTACGAACTGAATTCGGATTCGGTGTGAATCTACCTTAATATATTAATATGGGACCACAGAAAGTGGTCATTAATTGGAGGGGCTATTTTAGAGGGAGACCTGTATTTAATTTCTATTTTTTATATTTAGACAATTTACTGAAGAAATAAATCAAATACTGCATTTACAAGATGATACTTTTAATTCTGAAAATGCACCAATAGATTTTAAAATTTATAATTTGATAAATAATTAGCCATTACATGATAATGGAAAATCCAACTATGCTCTCCTTGAGTGCTTGACGACATCTACCATAAATTATTTTATTTTCTTATTCCCAACTGTTAGACAGTATAAAAAGGACAGTGTGTTGGCATGCATATTAATGAACCACAAAACAAAGTTAAACAGAATGCTGGTCACTTCGACCCAAAACCAACTCAGCCCAAACCAATTTGGCCCAGCCGACACTTCAGACCAGAACAACTCATCTCGTTTATTTCCACTAAAAAAAGCAAATATACAAAATGAAATAGTACAAAGTACAGCGGAAATTGCATTGTAATTGGAAGGGGAAAAGGGATCAAAACCAACTCAACCCAGAACCAAAACACCAACTCCGCCCAGCTGACACTTTGGACTGAACCCAATTTGGACCAAAACCAACTCAGCTCAGATGACTACCCAAATTATACGGAATTACCCAAATGAGTAGTGATCGCAATTACCCATTACCCAAGTGACAATTCAATTGAATCGAAATTGAATACAACTACTAAATAATAATACACTGTAGTAATGATGATAATAAAATAAGAAGCAATTAGTAGAGTTCCGCATAGTACACTATAGGAAAATTATTATATGAAGGTTAGATTTAATGCTTGAAAAAAATTTTGAATTTCTTTTACTACTAGTTTATGTGTTTACAAAGCCAAAGTGACTTCTGTGACCTCACTCTTTTCATGCCAACGATGCCAAGGTTTATATTGTTGTTAACAATATAAACTAAAATACAAAAAGAGAGTACGATAGTATAATACATATATAATAGTATTGAAATGCACGCCATCGTGTTGAGATTCAATACTTGGAGTATGTATTATACTTTCGTATCCGAGATTAATCAGTGGACCTTTCGGTAAAAGAGAGTACTATACAATTAAAAATATATATGAATTATCAATCAATTTATGTACAAAGAAACAATGCATTAAAAACTCAATATATAAAATAGGATAATTAAAGAATATCAAATCCATAAAAATGTTGTATGGGCCAAGTTGTTGTCTGGCCCGAATTTGTTTTAGTCTTAGTTGTCCGGGCTGAGTTGGTTTTGGTGCGTGTTGGTTTGGGGCCAAGTTGGTTTGGGGCCAAGTTGGTTTTGGTCCGAGTTGTCGTCTGGGCTGAAGTGGTTTTGGTCCGAGTTGGTTTAGGCCAAAATGACCAATTGCTATTAACACCGTATTCATAACTTGCGTAATGCATTTCGACATTATAGTCATATATTGTACTTGCTTCTTAAATCAAAATTTCTTGCATTGTTATCAAATTAACAGATTTAAAGTTCCCAATGATTTTAAAGTTGTTTGTACTTCATTTTAAAAAAAAAATTACACAGTAATTTATCCATGATACCAAAGCAAAATCAGTTTATGGTAATTACCAATACAAACATGTTAATTTCTCTATTGATAGGTAATGATCAGATTCGGACAATTGGAAATGTTGTCATCATAAATTTTTTTTTTTTATTAATAAATTATTTGGTTTTATAAATATTTCTCGGACAGATAGATTCACTCATTATTACAAAATTTCAAATATTGTACTTCAAAAAATGAAAAAAAAATTATTATGTTCACACAGTATTTGTTTCTTGTTTTTTTAATGATTTTTTAGAGTTTTGGGTTTATCTGTGTGACACTCACCCTTATAGCATGGAGGTATTATTGAGAAGGAGATCACTCGGCAACAGATCCCTTTGATGCGACAAACCTATGTGTTCCCCGCCTTTGGATTGTGCGCGGGCGTATTACCCTATAATTCACATTTTTTTGTTAGCAACAACTTAGCAACGACATGCATTTATACGCTTCCAGCAGAGCAGTTGTGCAATAAAGCATTTGATTTTAACCCATTAAATATTTTTATAATGTACAATGTTCCCCTGAATAGATTTTTTCGGAGTATGTTACTATTTGTATATTTCAGGAACGGATTCCTTAAAATATTTATGTTAAAATTACTTCTGTGTTCATTATAATTCTGTCTAAAGACTGATCGGTTCGACTATAAAGCTAAGTCAGCGTAAAACTGAAAAATACTCAGATTTTGGATTGATTTTTCGAATAGTAAACCCTCATTAACCCTAAAATGACTTAGTTTATTATAATCCTCAATCATTTATTAATTAATATCTGTTAAAATTAGAATTTTGGCCAATTTATGAAAATTGAAGTTGAAATATACTATACTTTTAAAGGTCATGTAAATGTTCCATTAAATTCGAAACTTTTTTTTGTGGAAATATTAATACAGTATGTTTGATATTTTATGAGAGATAAATGTATCAGCTTCAAAGTGGAAACGATTGCGCAGCCATAGTGATTGACTGTATGTAGTGTGCATCGAGAAAAGAAGGTGCTCTCCATTTTGCCATGTTCAATTTTTTCGTAAAACTATGCCTACTGAAAATTTGATGGCGGGGAACACATCGGACTTCCAAGGCATCGCGCAAACGTACTTCATGCGCTGCGGCAGCTTTGAACTTGGTTCATTTGCATAGCGCTGCGTGCACCTAGCTTTTTCGAGTGATCTCCTTCTCAATAATACCTCCATGCTTATAGTAAGGGGCTTAAGGTTCGACTTTTGCCAGAAAAAAATTTTCAATAGTTAGTATTAACATTATAGACAATAAAGTAAAATTCAGGAAATCACTTTTAGCTTTGTTAATGTAATTCAGGCACTTCGAAAGACATTTACACAAGTGAACTTATGGTGGCTCTGGTGGTTTCATATGAAGAATGTGTTATAATACTTTTACAGTAAAAATATTTGTTGTATAGAGTTTCCATAAAATTGCTACACCACTGAATTAGAGAACTTTATAGAAACCAGCCTTAACCAATGCCATGGCCTCAAAAGGAGCTAACAGATATTTTTTTTTAAAGACTTTCATAATACATTGTTAGTAGCTGGGCAGTTGTAGTAACCGATGCCATATGGTCTCATGTGGTACACCATATATTCCAATAGGTACATGTTGTTGGGTGATGCATACATGTAAGAGACAGCGTATTCAGAACAGCATTCAGGAAGCTGTAAATGCAGAAATGAAAAAAAAAATTAAAAATACATATTTATATAATGGTAAAAAGCAGATAAATTGAGTTAACATTGTTAATTGGAGAATATTGGTTAATGCAAATTAAATAATCAAGTAATTACGTATGGTTATTAATAGGTCAAAATACCAGTCCCACAAATCAGGTAAATTTTCAGAATAAGGTAAAGGTAAGGATGTTTACATTTTAACAAGCATGGAACATTTTAGATTTACCTTGTGACTTGGTTGCTTGATGAACCTCCAATACCACACAACAAACTTTGCACTGGTTACTGGTACCTCATGGTTTGGTATCAGCAACTGAAAACGATTTTCACCGGTATAATCCCGTCCGTCTTCTTGCCGATATACATTCACCTGGTTAAAGCAATTTTGTAATTCCATATCATCAATTTTACCACCACTCTCTGGGCCGCAATTCTTAATAACTGGGCTTAATTTCTTTATGCCTGCCCGACTTAATGCTATCGTCGAACCTCTATCCTTTTTACCGCTAAAAACTTGGCCTACATAACTTTTAATACTAGTACTGTGTAAGATAAGCATGTATTTTAAGTTCTCTACAACAAGATATGTATCGTATTCCACTTTAACAATCCAATCATAATTGTTGATTTCTTGTCCCATAATCCATTGAAGACTGGACTTTAACCGGCTCCATGCGTGATTTGCCCCATCAGCTAGATCAATCCCTATTATGTCACCCTTGCTTATTTTTCTGGAACTTAAAATCACAAATTTATCGCAATGCTTTCCCCAAGTTTTCTGCTGGTTCTCGGCAGAGTGGAGTTGATTCTGCGGCGTGATGGAAAAACAGAAAACCCGAATTTTGGAATTTAATGCACTTGCATTTAATCGTGGGTCAAAATCATTTCTTTTTAAATAATTTACAAACGAGGTATCTAATTCTGGATCCAACTCTGGCATTCCTAATTCACTGAGGCCATTATCAGGCTTATCATTATGATCGCTGGTCTGAAAGAAGTAGCTGGTTCCATCAATGGAATAATCAATAGAAAGAACATTCTGCTTTGTAGGGTAACCAATATTATGAATGCCAGATGGTCGTTTGGAATTATAATTAGAAGTAATGGAGGAAATCCGATTCATCTGATTTACAATATCCAAGAAACGTTCATAAACAAAAACTGAGCAAAACCCAACACATAGTCCAATAATCAGTGAGAATAAACCTTTCTTCGACATTTTGAAAGTTTATTTTGACAACTACAAGGATGAAGATGGCCTTTTACTGTCTAAGATTTGTAGTCTGCACTTTGATCTATCCTCATTATGCTGTTGTTGATAAATCCATCGATACAGGATGTCTACATAGTTATCTAAAAAAAGATTAAAAGGATAATAATATGAACAAGAGCACTCAGTAGAGAGCATATCTCCACCCACCGCAAATCCCTTTCTATAAAATAAATCTCTCAAAATATGTTCCTATTTTACTTCAACCACCAACAATACCACCCCACCTTACTTTTCTCTCCACAGTAACTTGCCCAAACATGAGGGGCACTATTTCCACTTTTAGTAAACTACAGGTTTTTGTAATAATTTTTTATCCAAAATGGTTTCACTAAAAGTCACAGTCGGCCTACTGGACACTACGTGTGTTACATTTTGAACACATTTTATTTTCAACTACTGAAATTGTAAAAAAAAATGTGACAAAATGTGACAACGTGCTTACTTTCCAACCACCACCTACAGTACTTACAATATTAAAAAATACACTAACCAACTAACCAGGAACATTATTGTTCCTACAGTAGTTAGGTCTTTTATTGTATTAGTGATACATCTATACCTGCCAATTCCTTAATTCTGCTGGTTAAACACACCGGAACATTTTACTTTTATAGTTGACAAAAAAATACATGCAATGCAATATTGGTGTTGCAATGGAAATATTATGCAAATAGTCAATAGTTCTTTCTGTCAAGTGTTTAAATATAACGATGCATTAAAAATGTTCCCAATCAGTTTCCAAAAAATGAAGTTAGTACATACTGTATAAAATGCTGTACACATTAAATGTAATTGCACTAATTTGAATATTCTTCACACAGCTATTGTTATCTGCCTACGGTATACGGTAAACTTATTCTTTAAATGGTCCTCATATCCACACCCTACAGTACTTCGAGACCAAAATTTAAACATGACAAACTATTTTGGAAATTGTATTTTTATCCATTGATCCATTTTCGAGATATTTAGGTCTGCGACCTAATGGCAATCAATGCACACTCAAATTTGGATCGTCACCAACACTTCATAATCGCTAACAGACAGAACCGCGGTCTTATTCACCAACAGGAATCAGTCCAGTACAAGTTAAATTTGGTAGGTTACATGGCAGTAATAGTAGTTCAACCGACATCGGATTTTGGTAAATGGTAGTTCAAGTCCATAATAATTTTCAGTAAAATATGTAGCGCAAGTGTCTCATGTCTTGGAGTGGCTGCTGCACACCCC